CGCTGGTGCCGCACGCGCTGGCACAGCTGGCGCTGGTGGTGATGGTGATGGTGGTGATGGTGGTGATGATGATGGTGATGGCGTGTCTCTGTGTCTCTGTCTGTGTGCAGGTGTTGATGACGATGCAGGTGGTGTGAGTCACCCAGCCTGGCTGGGCCTGACGCTGCTGTTTGCGCTGGTGCCGCACGCGCTGGCACAGCTGGCGCTGGCGCACGCCCACAGAGACCTGGGCAGAGACCGTCCACTCATGCTCATGCTGCACGCTCTGCAGCTGGGGGGGGTCACAAGGTCAGTGGGGGGTCACAAGGTCACGTGGGGGGGTCACAAGGTCACGTGGGAGGGTCACAAGGTCAGGGGGGTCACAAGGTCAGGGGGGTCACAAGGTCAGGGGGGTCACAAGGTCAGGGGGGGGAGGGAGGGGCAGAGACCGTCCACTCATGCTCATGCTGCACGCACTGCAGCTGGGGGGGGTCACAAGGTCAGCGGGGGGTCACAAGGTCACGTGGGGGGGTCACAAGGTCAGGGGGGGTCACAAGGTCAGGGGGGGAGGGGGGTGGATGGGGGGTGGGGGGGGGTGGGGGGGGGAGAGGTTAGGGGGTGTCTGTGTGTGTGTGTATATGTGTGTGTGTAACTGTGTGTGTAACTGTGTGTGTGTGTAACTGTGTGTGTGTATGTAACTGTGTGTGTGTGTGTAACTGTGTGTGTGTGTGTCACTGTGTGTGTGTCACTGTGTGTGTGTCACTGTGTGTCTGTGTGTGTAATCACTGTGTGTGTTCACTGTGTGTGTGTCACTGTGTGTCACTGTGTGTGTCACTGTGTGTGTGTGTCACTGTGTGTGTCACTGTGTTGTGTGTCACTGTGTGTGTGTGTCACTGTGTGTGTGTGTGTGTGTGGTCACGTGTTGTTGGTCCACTGTGTGTGTGTGTCACTGTGTGTGTGTGTCACTGTGTGTCACTGTGTGTGTGTCACTGTGTGTGTCACTGTGTGTGTGTGTCACTGTGTTGTGTGTCACTGTGTGTGTGTGTGTGTCACTGTGTGTCACTGTGTGTCACTGTGTGTGTCACTGTGTGTGTGTGTCACTGTGTGTGTGTGTCACTGTGTGTGTGTGTCACTGTGTGTGTGTGTCACTGTGTGTCACTTTGTGTGTGTCACTGTGTGTGTCACTGTGTGTGTGTGTCACTGTGTGTGTGTGTCACTGTGTGTGTGTGTGTGTCCACTGTGTGTCACTGTGTGTCACTGTGTGTGTCACTGTTGTGTGTGGTCACTGTGTGTGTGTGTCACTGTGTGTGTGTGTCACTGTGTGTGTGTGTCACTGTGTGTCACTGTGTGTGTGTCACACTGTGTGTGTCACTGTGTGGTGTGTCACTGTGTGTCACTGTGTGTGTCACTGTGTTGTGTGTCACTGTGTGTCACTGTGTGTCACTGTGTGTGTCACTGTGTGTGTGTCACTGTGTGTCACTGTGTGTGGTCACTGTGTGTGTGTGTCACTGTGTGTGGTGTCACTGTGTGTCACTGTGTGTGTCACACTGTGTGTGTCACTGTGTGTGTGTCACTGTGTGTCACTGTGTGTGTGTCACTGTGTGTGTGTGTGTGTCACTGTGTGTGTGTGTGTGTCACTGTGTGTGTCACTGTGTGTGGTGTGTCACTGTGTGTGTCACTGTGTGTGTGTGTCACTGTGTGTGGTCACTGTGTGTCACTGTGTGTCACTGTGTGTTGTCACACTGTGTGTCACTGTGTGTGTGTGTGTGTCACGTGTGTGTGTCACTGTGTGTGTGTGTGTCACTGTGTGTGTGTGTGTGTCACTGTGTGTGTCACTGTTGTGTGTGTGTGTGTCACTGTGTGTGTCACTGTGTGTGTCACTGTGTGTGTCACTGTGTTGTTGTGTCACTGTGTGTGTGTGTCACTGTGTGTGTGTCACTGTGTGTTGTCACTGTGGTGTTGTCACTGTGTGTGTGTGTGTGTCACTGTGTGTGTGTGTCACTGTGTGTGTGTCACTGTGTGTGTCACTGTGTGTGTCACTGTGTGTGTGTGTGTGTCACTGGTGTGTGTGTCACTGTGTGTGTGTCACTGTGTGTGTGTCACTGTGTGTGTCACTGTGTGTGTCACTGTGTGTGTGTGTGTGTCACTGTGTGTGTGTCACTGTGTGTGTGTGTCACTGTGTGTGTGTGTGTGTCACTGGTGTGTGTGTGTGTCCACTGTGTGTCACTGTTTGTGTGTGGTGTCACTGTGTGTGTGTCACTGTGTGTGTGTGTGTCACTGTGTGTGTGTGTGTCACTGTGTGTGTGTCACTGTGTGTGTGTGTCACACTGTGTGTGTGTCACTGTGTGTGTGTGTCACTGTGTGTGTGTGTCACTGTGTGTGTGTCACTGTGTGTGTGTGTCACTGTGTGTGTGTGTGTGTCACTGTGTGTGTCACTGTGTGTGTGTGTGTCACTGTGTGTGTCACTGTGTGTGTGTGTCACTGTGTGTGTCACTGTGTGTGTGTGTCACTGTGTAGAGCGGTAGAAGCGGTGTGGACCTACCGTGCGCTGGGCCGTGTTGAGGAGCCGTACTGCAGCCTGGTGCGCAAGATTCGTGTGTCACGTGACGGCAAGCAGCACCACGTGATACGCGAGGTGACACACTCACTCACTTACTCAGTTACTCACTCACTTACTCACACACTCATACACTCACTCACTCATTCACTCAGTAACTCACTCACTCATACACTCACACAATTACTCACTCACACACTCACTTCACTCACACACTCACACACACACTCACTCACACACTCACACACTCACTCATACACTCACTCACTCATTCACTCACTCACTCACTCACACACTCACACACTCACTCACTCATACACTCACTCACACACACACTCACTTGCACACTCACACACTCACTTACTCACTCATACACTCACTCACTCACACACTCACTCACTCACACACTCACACACTCACCCACTCACTCACTCACACACTCACTCACACACTCACTCACTCACACACTCACTCACTCACACACTCACTCATACACTCACTCACTCACACACTCACTCACTCACACACTCACACACTCACCCACTCACTCACTCACACACTCACTCACTCACACACTCACTCACTCACACACTCACTCACTCACTCACACACTCACTCACTCACACACTCGCTCACACACTCGCTCACACACTCACACACTCACACACTCACACACACACTCACTCACACACTCACTCAGTCACTCACTCACTCACACACTCACACACTCACTCACTCACTCACACACTCACTCACACACTCACTCACACACTCACACACACACTCACACACTCACTCACTCACTCACACACTCACTCACTCACACACTCACTCACACACTCACACACTCACTCACTCACACACTCACTCACTCACTCACACACTCACTCACACACTCACACACTCACTCACTCACTCACACACTCACTCACTCACACACTCACTCACACCTCACACACTCACTCACTCACTCACACACTCACTCACTCATACACTCACACACTCACTCACACACTCACTCACTCACTCACACACTCACTCACACACTCACACACTCAGTCACACACTCACACACTCACACACTCACTCACCCACTCACTCACTCACTCACACACTCACTCACACACTCACACACTCATACACTCACTCACACACTCACTCACTCACTCACACACTCATACACTCACTCACACACTCACTCACTCACTCACACACCCACACACTCACACACTCACACACTCACTCACTCACACACTCATACACACACTCACACACTCACTCACTCACTCACACACCACTCACTCACACACGCATACACTCCCTTCTAGACTCACTCACACACACACTCACACACTCACCACTCACACACTCACACACTCACTCATTCACTCATTCACACACACACTCACACACTCACACACTCACTCACTCACACACTCACTCACACACACACTCACTCACTCACACACCCACTCACTCACACACTCACACACTCACTCACTCACACACACACTCACACACTCACTCACTCACCAACTCACACACGCACTCATTCACTCATTCACACACACACTCACACACTCACACACTCACTCACTCACACACTCACTCACACACACACTCACTCACTCACTCACACACTCACTCACTCACACACTCACACACTCACTCACTCACTCACACACTCACTCACACACTCACTCACTCACACACTCACTCACTCACACACTCACACACTCACCCACTCACTCACTCACACACTCACTCACTCACACACTCACTCACTCACACACTCACTCACTCACTCACACACTCACTCACTCACACACTCACACACTCGCTCACACACTCACACACTCACACACTCACACACACACTCACTCACACACTCACTCAGTAACTCACTCACTCACACACTCACACACTCACTCACTCCACTCACACACTCACACACTCACTCACACACTCACTCACACACTCACACACTCACTCACTCACTCACACACTCACACACTCACTCACTCACTCACACACTCACTCACTCATACACTCACACACTCACTCACACTCACTCACTCACTCACACACTCACTCACACACTCACACACTCATACACACACTCACACACTCACACACACACTCACACACTCACTCACTCACTCACACACTCACTCACACACTCACTCACTCACACACTCACTCACACACTCACACACTCACTCACTCACACACTCACTCACTCACTCACACACTCACTCACACACTCACACACTCACTCACTCACACACTCACTCACTCACTCACACACTCACTCACTCACACACTCACTCACACACTCACACACTCACTCACTCACTCACACACTCACTCACTCATACACTCACACACTCACTCACACACTCACTCACTCACTCACACACTCACTCACACACTCCCACTCAGTCACACACTCACACACTCACACACTCACTCACCCACTCACTCACTCACTCACTCACACACTCACTCACACACTCACACACTCATACACACACTCACACACTCACTCACTCACTCACACACTCATACACACACTCACACACTCACTCACTCACACACCCACACACTCACACACTCACACACTCACTCACTCACACACTCATACACACACTCACACACTCACTCACTCACTCACACACCCACTCACTCACACACTCACACACTCACTCACTCACACACACACTCACACACTCACTCACTCACACACTCACACACTCACTCATTCACTCACTCACACACACACTCACACACTCACACACTCACTCACTCACACACTCACTCACACACACACTCACTCACTCACACACTCACTCACACACCCACACACTCACTCACCACTCACTACACACTCACTCACACACTCACACACTCACTCACTCACACACTCACTCACTCATACACTCACACACTCACTCACACACTCACTCACACACTCACTCACTCACACACCCACACACTCACTCACTCACTGGAGGGGCGCCTGTATAGTGATTTTGGTTGTTGTGATAGTGGTTGTTGTGGTGGTGGTGGTGGTAGTGATAGTTGTTGTGGTTGTTGTTGTGGTGGTGGTTGTGGTGGTGGTTGTGGTGGTGGTGCAGATTAGCCGGCTGGAGAGGCGCCTGTATAGTGATTTTGGTGGTTGTGATAGTGGTTGTGGTTGTTGTCGTGGTTGTTGTGATAGTGGTTGTGGTGGTGGTGGTGGTTGTTGTGGTGGTAGTGATGGTGGTTGTTGTGGTGGTTGTTGTGGTGGTTGTGGTTGTGGTGGTGGTTGTGGTGGTTGTGGTAGTGATAGTTGTTGTTGTTGTGGTTGTTGTGATAGTTGTTGTTGTTGTTGTGATAGTTGTTGTTGTTGTTGTGGTACAGGTTAGCCGGCTGGAGGGACGCCTGTACGCTCACCGCGCTGCGTTCGCACGAGCGATGGTGCTGATGGTTGTTGTGGTTGTTGTGGTTGTTGTTGTCATAGTTGTTGTTGTTGTTGTGGTTGTTGTTGTTGTGGTGTAGGTTAGCCGGCTGGAGGGACGCCTGTACGCGCACCGCGCTGCGTTCGCACGAGCGATGGTGCTGATGGTTGTTGTGGTTGTTGTTGTTGTTGTTGTGATAGTTGTTGTTGTTGTGGTTGTTGTTGTTGTTGTTGTGGTGTAGGTTAGCCGGCTGGAGGGACGCCTGTACGCGCACCGCGCTGCGTTCGCACGAGCGATGGTGCTGATGGTTGTTGTGGTTGTTGTTGTTGTTGTTGTGATAGTTGTTGTTGTTGTGGTTGTTGTTGTTGTTGTTGTGGTGTAGGTTAGCCGGCTGGAGGGACGCCTGTACGCGCACCGCGCTGCGTTCGCACGAGCGATGGTGCTGATGGCGTTTCTGGGCTCAGCACCACAACTCACGCTGCAAGCCTACATCACTCTGCAACAACACAGCGTCACAGCCTATAGGGGTGGGTCACTGTGTGTGTGTGTGTCTGTGTGTGTGTGTCTGTGTGTGTGTGTGTGTCTGTGTGTGTCTGTCTGTGGTAGTGTAGCGGTTAGCGCGCTGCGCTATGAACCTGGCGACCCGGGTTCGATTCCCGCTCACGGCTAACACCAGTGACGATTATCTGAACCGGTCCTGGGCCTCCCCTAGGTCGACTCAGCCTTAAATGAGTACCCGGTGCGGTGTGTAAACATCGCCACTAGGGAGACAAAGGCGGTCGGGCGTGGTGCTGGCCACCCACCCCATCGTGTACCGTTCCGGCCTTCATAGGTGCTCGCTAACAGCACTTGCCCCTACAGTCTGTTCAGGCTATACGGGGGATCTTTGATCTTTGTGTGTGTGTGTCTACATCACTCTCCAGCAACACAGCATCACAGCCTATAGGGGTGGGTCACTCACTGTGTGTGTCTGTGTGTGTGTGTGTCTGTGTGTGTGTGTGTCTGTGTCTGTGTGTGTCTGTGTGTGTGTCTGTGTCTGTGTGTGTCTGTGTGTGTGTGTGTGTCTGTGTGTGTGTGTGTCTGTGTGTGTGTGTGTGTGTCTGTGTGTGTGTGTCTGTGTGTCTACATCACTCTGCAACAACACAGCATCACAGCCTATAGGGGTGGGTCACTGTGTGTGTGTGTGTCTGTGTGTGTGTGTCTGTGTGTGTGTGTGTCTGTGTGTGTGTGTGTGTCTGTGTGTGTCTGTCTGTGTGTGTGTCTGTCTGTGTGTGTGTGTGACTGTGTGTGTGTGTGTGACTGTGTGTGTATGTGTGTGTCTGTGTGTGTGTGTCTACATCACTCTCCAGCAACACAGCATCACAGCCTATAGGGGTGGGTCACTCACTGTGTGTGTGTGTCTGTGTGTGTGTGTCTGTGTGTGTGTGTGTCTGTGTGTGTGTGTCTGTGTCTGTGTGTGTCTGTGTCTGTGTGTGTCTGTGTCTGTGTGTGTCTGTGTGTGTGTGTGTCTGTGTGTGTGTGTGTCTGTGTGTCTGTGTGTCTGTGTGTCTGTGTGTCTGTGTGTGTGTGTGTGTGTCTGTGTGTCTACATCACTCTGCAACAACACAGCATCACAGCCTATAGGGGTGGGTCACTCACTGTGTGTGTGTGTGCCTACATCACTCTGCAACAACACAGCATCACAGCCTATAGGGGTGGGTCACTCACTGTGTGTGTGTGTGTCTGTGTGTGTGTGTCTGTGTGTGTGTGTCTGTGTGTGTGTCTGTGTGTGTGTGTGTGTCTCTGTGTGTGTCTCTGTGTGTGTGTGTCTGTGTGTGTGTGTCTGTGTGTGTGTGTCTGTGTGTATGTCTCTGTGTGTGTGTCTGTGTGTGTGTCTGTGTGTGTCTGTGTGTGTCTGTGTGTGTGTGTGTCTATGTGTGTGTATGTGTGTCTGTGTGTGTGTGTGTGTGTGTCTGTGTGTGTGTGTGTCTGTGTGTGTGTGTCTGTGTGTGTGTGTGTGTCTGTGTGTGTGTGTGTGTCTGTGTGTGTGTGTATGTCTGTGTCTCTGTGTCTCCAGGAGTACTGATGGCAGTGTCTCTACTCTCTGTCTCTCTGGGTGCCCTGGTCCTCACCCTACTCGCCGTCCGAGTCCGCTTCGACCGCGTGGAGTTGTGTGTGTCACCGTGTGTGTCTCTGTGTGTCTCACTGTGTGTGTCTCTGTGTGTGTCTCCGTGTGTGTCTCTGTGTGTGTGTGTCTCACTGTGTGTGTCTCTGTGTGTGTCTCCGTGTGTGTCTCTGTGTGTGTCTCTGTGTGTGTGTGTCTCACTGTGTGTGTCTCTGTGTGTGTCTCACTGTGTGTGTCTCTGTGTGTGTCTCTGTGTGTGTCTCACTGTGTGTCTCTGTGTGTGTCTCTGTGTGTGTGTGTCTCACTGTGTGTGTCTCTGTGTGTGTCTCCGTGTGTGTCTCTGTGTGTGTCTCTGTGTGTGTGTGTCTCACTGTGTGTCTCACCGTGTCTCTGTGTGTGCAGGTTGTGTGTCTCACTGTGTGTCTCACTGTGTCTCTGTGTCTGTGTGTCTAGGGGTACTGATGGCAGTGTCTCTACTCTCCGTCTCTCTGGGTGCTCTGGTCCTCACCCTCCTCGCTGTCCGAGTCCGCTTTGACCGCGTGGAGTTGTGTGTGTCTCACTGTGTCTCTGTGTCTCACTGTGTGTCTCACTGTGTGTGTCTCTGTGTGTGTCTCACTGTGTGTGTGTCTCACTGTGTGTCTCTGTGTGTGTCTCACTGTGTGTGTCTCTGTGTGTGTCTCACTGTGTGTCTCTGTGTGTGTCTCACTGTGTCTCACTGTGTGTCTCTGTGTGTGTCTCACTGTGTCTAGGGGTACTGATGGCAGTCTCCCTGCTGTCTGTCTCCCTGGGTGCCCTGGTCCTCACGCTACTCGCTGTCCGAGTCCGCTTTGACCGCGTGGAGCTGCGTGTGTCACTCTGTGTGTCTCACTGTGTGTCTCTGTGTGTCTCTCTCTAGGGGTACTGATGGCAGTCTCCCTGCTGTCTGTCTCCCTGGGTGCCCTGGTCCTCACGCTACTCGCTGTCCGAGTCCGCTTCGACCGCGTGGAGCTGCGTGTGTCACTCTGTGTGTCTCACTGTGTGTCTCTGTGTGTCTCTCTCTAGGGGTACTGATGGCAGTCTCCCTGCTGTCTGTCTCCCTGGGTGCCCTGGTCCTCACCCTCCTCGCTGTCCGAGTCCGCTTTGACCGCGTGGAGCTGCGTGTGTCACTCTGTGTGTCTCACTGTGTGTCTCTGTGTGTCTCTCTCTAGGGGTACTGATGGCAGTCTCCCTGCTGTCTGTCTCCCTGGGTGCCCTGGTCCTCACCCTCCTCGCCGTGCGAGTCCGCTTCGACCGCGTGGAGCTGCGTGTGTCACTCTGTGTGTCTCACTGTGTGTCTCTGTGTGTCTCTCTCTAGGGGTACTGATGGCAGTCTCCCTGCTGTCTGTCTCCCTGGGTGCCCTGGTCCTCACCCTCCTCGCTGTCCGAGTCCGCTTCGACCGCGTGGAGCTGCGTGTGTCACTCTGTGTGTCTCACTGTGTGTCTCTGTGTGTCTCTCTCTAGGGGTACTGATGGCAGTCTCCCTGCTGTCTGTCTCCCTGGGTGCCCTGGTCCTCACCCTCCTCGCTGTCCGAGTCCGCTTCGACCGCGTGGAGCTGCGTGTGTCACTCTGTGTGTCTCACTGTGTGTCTCTGTGTGTCTCTCTCTAGGGGTACTGATGGCAGTCTCCCTGCTGTCTGTCTCCCTGGGTGCCCTGGTCCTCACCCTCCTCGCTGTCCGAGTCCGCTTCGACCGCGTGGAGCTGCGTGTGTCACTCTGTGTGTCTCACTGTGTGTCTCTGTGTGTCTCTCTCTAGGGGTACTGATGGCAGTCTCCCTGCTGTCTGTCTCCCTGGGTGCCCTGGTCCTCACGCTACTCGCTGTCCGAGTCCGCTTCGACCGCGTGGAGCTGCGTGTGTCACTCTGTGTGTCTCACTGTGTGTCTCTGTGTGTCTCTCTCTAGGGGTACTGATGGCAGTCTCCCTGCTGTCTGTCTCCCTGGGTGCCCTGGTCCTCACCCTCCTCGCTGTCCGAGTCCGCTTCGACCGCGTGGAGCTGCGTGTGAGCGCACGAGCCGTCGCCGTGGCGACCGCCTGGCGCGCCATGGAGATCTCCACACGCGTCACAGTCCTTGTGCTGTTCAGCTCCGCGTGCCGGGTACACGTGACACACACAGTGACACACACAGTGACACACACACAGTGACACACACACCACGTGACACACACAGTGACACAAACAGTGACACACACAGTGACACACACACAGTGACACACACACAGTGACACACACACAGTGACACACACACACAGCATGTGTCCCTGTGTGTGTGTGTCACTGTGTGTGTGTGTGTCACTGTGTGTGTGTGTCACTGTGTGTGTGTCACTGTGTGTGTGTCACTGTGTGTGTGTGTGTCACTGTGTGTGTGTCACTGTGTGTGTGTGTCACTGTGTGTGTCACTGTGTGTGTGTCACTGTGTGTGTGTGTCACTGTGTGTGTGTGTCACTGTGTGTGTGTCACTGTGTGTGTGTGTCACTGTGTGTGTGTGTCACTGTGTGTGTTGTCACTGTGTGTGTCACTGTGTGTCACTGTGTTGTGTGTCACTGTGTGTGTGTCACTGTGTGTGTGTCACTGTGTGTGTGTGTGTCACTGTGTGTGTGTCACTGTGTGTGTGTGTCACTGTGTGTGTGTGTCACTGTGTGTGTCACTGTGTGTGTGTCACTGTGTGTGTGTCACTGTGTGTGTGTGTCACTGTGTGTGTGTGTCACTGTGTGTGTGTCACTGTGTGTGTGTGTCACTGTGTGTGTGTGTCACTGTGTGTGTGTCACTGTGTGTAGGAATGGACTCTGGCTGTAGTGTTAGTGAACCTGGCTGTGTTTGGGCTCATGCCGTGGGTCGGCCTCTGGAGGCAGCGACGATTCTTGCCGGAGCACCCCAACACAACCTACGGTACCTACACCACTAGTACTACTACACCACTAGTACTACACTACTACTACACTACTAGTACTACACTACTACTACTACACTACTAGTACTACACCACTAGTACACTACTACTACTACTACACTACTACTACTACACTACTACTACTACACCACTAGTACACTACTACTACTACTACACTACTACTACTACACTACTACTACACTACTACTACTACACTACTACTACTACACTACTAGTACACTACTACTACTACACTACTACTACTACACCACTAGTACTACTACACTACTACTACTACACTACTACTACTACACTACTACTACTACACTGCCACTACTACTACACCACCACCACTACTACACCACCACTAGTACACTACTACTACACTACTACTACTAGTACACTACTACTACACTACTACTACTACACCACTACTACTACACTACTACTACTACACTACCACTACTACTACACCACCACCACTACTACACCACCACCACTAGTACACCACTACTACTACTACACTACTACTACTACACTACTACTACTACACTACTACTACTACTACACTACTACTACTACTACACTACTACTACTACACTACTACTACTACACTACTACTACTACTACACTACTACTACTACACTACTACTACACTACTACTACTAGTACACTACTACACTACTACTACACCACCACTACACCACCACCACTACACCACCACCACCCACTCACCCACCCACCCCCCCACCCACCCACTCACCCACCCACCCACTCACCCACCCACCCACCCACCCACTCACCCACCCACCCACTCACCCATCCACCCACTCACTCACCCACCCCCCGCCCCACCCACCCCCCCCCCCCCACCCACCCACCCCCCCCGCCCCACCCCCCACCCCCCCACCCGCCCCACCCAGGCGCGTGCGGGGCAGCCACATCCTCCGTGCTGCTGTCCCTTCTCTTCGCGGCAGTCAACGCCTTCTGCTGGTCGGCGCTGCGCCTCCAGCTCTCCGCCCCCGAGCTCGTGGTGAGCGGCTCCGGCACCGGCGGCTCCGGGGACCGCCCCCTTCGCTGGGCCGCAGCCTTCTACTCGGCACGCCTCCTGGAGAACACCGTCCTGATCCTCGCCTGGTGGTTCACCGTGGCCGGCGACGCGTCGGCACCGCCGCCGCTGTGCCCGCCGGCGGCGCTGGCCAAGCTCACGGCGGCCTACGCTCTCGTCGTCGCCCTCATGGTGGTCTTCTACCGATACTGCCACCCGTGCCGACGGCTGCTGCGGTTCCGCACGGGCTGGGCACGGCTGTGTCCCGCGCCGAATGGCGGCGGTGACGGCGGTGGCGGTGACGGTGGCGGTGATGATGATGATGATGATTATGAGGATGAGGAGGAGGAGGAAGAGGAGAAGGGGAGATGCTGGGAGCGTTGGTGTGGTGGTGCTAAGGGTGGCGGCCATGGTGGTGGTGATTGTAAAGGCACTAGAGGTGGCGGTGGTGGTGGTGGTGGCGGCGGTGGTGGTGGTGGCGGTGGTGGCGGTGGCGGCGGTGGCGGTAGTGGCGGCGGTGGTGGTGGTGGTGGTGGTACGGGAGCTCCCCTTGTTGCCGGCGAAGAGGAGGAGGATGACGAGGGGGAAGCAAAGGATTCTGGGAGGCTGATGGTGGTGGCCACTGGCCCTGCCCGCAGCTCCCATGGTGGTGGTGGTGGTAGCCAGGTATGAGAACCAGGGTGGTGCTGGTGGTGGTGGTGGTGGTTGTTGTTGTTGCTGCTGCTTATCGACAGCCGCTTGTTAAGGCTACACGGGGGATCTTTGTCTTTGTTTGCATGTGTGTGCGACTGAAATTGTCGTGGGCGTCCCCTATGTCGACTCAGCCTCAAATGAGTACCTGCTACGATCGCCACTTGGGAGACAAAGGCGGCCAAGTCACCCACTCAGCAACCCACTCACCCACTCAGCAACTCACTCACCCATTACTCACCAATCCACTCACCCACTCAACAACTCACTCACCCACTCACTCACCCACTCAGCAACTCACTCACCCATCCACTCATCCACCCACTCACCCACTCACCCATCCACTCATCCACCCACTCACCCACTCACTCACCAATCCACTCACCCACTCAGCAACACACTCACCCACTCAGCAACACACTCACCCACTCAGCAACACACT